CTCCCCCCCCCCCCCCCCACCCTGAGCAAAATTTTACAATCTCCAGATTTTATATTACCAGAGGCTGGCATCTCTGATTTCCAACAGAAGATTCAGCATATTTTAGTCACTTTCCTTTATTTCTTCTTGTGCGGAAATAAATAAATAAATAAAAATGATAACAGTCTCCATAGATATCTTTTATTTTGAATTCAAGTACACACAAGAAGATCTTTAATGGTAAAAGTGTATTTATGTTTCATAGCAATGAAGAAGTACGAACCTACAGATGACACTACCAATCCTTCCTTGATCTTGGCTGCTGCAAAGATGGAGCAGTATCAACACCTCATAGATGATGCAGTTCAGTATGCAAAAGCAAAGGAGGGGTATGTCAGTTTTTTCCAATCTGAACAGATAATACTGAAACGGATTTCACAAGGAAAAGACATGATAACGCCAAAAATTCACCAAATGTGTTATAGAAAACAATATAATATTTTGCTTCTTTTGTTGAATACAGTTGATAACTCTTAAAATACTGGCCAATGATAAAGTTACAGTTTATTTTACCGGTAGGTCTTTTGGTGATCAGTTGGACTGGACCATGGACAGATTGTTTGTTAATTTTGGATCAGAAATCCTGAAGATAATTCCTGGAAGAGTTTCCACAGAAATTGATGCAAGGTGTGCCATGGTGATTAACCTGTTTCAAATATAATACGTAAAGAGACTGCTCTTTTAGTGTTTGGAATCTATTTTGATATTTGACCATTATCCACTGTCCTGTTTTGACATGTTTGCCATGACTTCAGTAAAGGATTGCTTTTGCATAACTTTTTCAATAACAAGTTGATTTTAATTCTTGAAACATATTGCCATTTGCCCATCATACTTAGAAATACAGGCTAACGGAGGATCACAGTTTTGGTATATTAGTCACGTAAGATGTATTTGTTATACAAAAATATTTCAGACTGTCTTTTGACAAGGAGGCTTCCATCTCAAAAGCGAGAAGAATCATTGATTTATACAAAGAGAAAGGGATTGATAAGGAAAGGATTCTTATCAAACTTCCAACCACCTGGGAGGGTATTGAGGCAGCCAGGTGATTTCAGTTCTTTACTTTATTTTATAGTGCTTTCTTTGTGCACTATTAATTGAAAGTGAATGGGACCATTTTTATGCCAAATTAAAGAAAATAATGTAATATACAAGCATAATTGTGACATTTATTTGTAACATTTTAAACATTCAAACTGGGTAAGTTGTATTAAAAATATAAGAATATGAGATCATCCACAGAAACTCTCTATTTAAATTATGAACAAATTTAAACAAACCTAAAAAGTGTTATACAAATTACATTTACTTGTATTCAGAGCAGTGTAGGGATGACTGATGGAATGTTCTCATTGAAAAGAAACTGTTTTGAAATATCTTGTTAAAACAAGTTCACAACTGTTTTTGAATAGGTATGCCCTGGCCTGCAATACATATGAAGATTGTTAAATATCATGTTTATTCATTGATGATGACTAGAATGTTTTAATAAAATTCCTCCTTTATATTTCATGTTTCCAGAACCCTTGAACAGGAATATGGAATTCACTGCAACTTGACTCTGTTGTTTTCATTTGCACAGGTACTACATACCGGTACTTCAATTTTTCATGGGCACATGTACTCTATCATTTTATTAATGGTTGATTTTGTTTAAAACCTCCATATTAAATAACATCTTTGAATTGCACTGCATATGATGTTTAGGATGTGAAGCAACTGACCAATTTGTTTTGCAATTTAAACTGTATTTTAGGAATTTCTACCTCTGAAATTGCAGAAATATCTTTTGCAGGCTGTTGCATGTGCAGAGGCTGGCGTGACACTCATTTCACCTTACGTGGGCAGAATCTTTGACTGGTATGTAGAAAACACAGACAGAAAGAAGTTTCAGCCATTGGAAGATCCAGGTTGGTTTTGTTATGATGATAAGAATTAAATCATTGTAATAAAAACGGTAATTGGTAAAGTTAATAATCTCAGCTTGAAGCAGTTTATAAACATTTAGATTCTTCTGTTTTTCTAAAGAAAAAACAAGTAGTGGGAATTATACAGAAAGTGCATCCTCTATATGAAATACTTTATATATATATATATATATATATATAGGTCCCATTTAAAGCCAATGCATATTCAAATCTTTCTTAAAGAACTTCATTTTAATTGTCTGTAAACACAAATGCTTTATTTGTGAAATTTTGTTACATATATGCCAATTTTACAGGTGTTCAAAGTGTCACTAGGATCTACAATTACTACAAAAAGTTTGGATACCAGACTGTCGTCATGGGAGCCTCTTTCAGAAATACAGAACAGATAACAGCACTTGCTGGATGTGACCTCCTCACTATCAGGTACCTAAAGAACCAGGAAATTTAACATTTTATACACACACAGTAGTATATCTACAGGAGCTGGTCCTCAAGAATTATCAGGAGTTTTGTGAATTAAAATGGTGAATTTAACATAATAGCAATTGTCTTTTTTGCCTGTGTATGTTTCATTTCAAATATTCTGTTCTTGTTTTGTAGCCCATCACTTTTAGAAAAGCTGTCCAGCAGCAATGAGAAAGTGACTGTGTACCTTTCTGAGAAACAAGGTATGCTCAGTGTAAGCTTACATAAAGAAAATTAGTTACATATGAAGCGAGCCAGGATTCCCAACAATGCAGTTTCATCCTTTGGTCAACCAAAAAATAGCTTGGAAACTGTACCTTTCTACAAATTTTTGGTTGTTAACTCGACCTCTTTATTCATTCCTCTAGTGTGTGAAAGTCCACCAAGTGACGTCAGGGTAGTAATATGTGACCAATTACTGCAGTGCCTGCAATAGCAGTATTCAAATAGCAATATTCAAATTAGGTTTTGCAGAAATAACAAAGGTTTAAAAGAAAGCAGAAAATAATTGTTCAAATATCATTTTTCAGGAAATATGCTCTTTGGTATTTTAAGATCTTGCTATTTGAGACTATATGGTGGCATTTGGTCAGGTTTAATGGCAAAGGTTTGACTGAAGTTATGTGTAACTTTCAAATTTTACAACTATTTTAACTACATTTGTTTCAAAAAAAATTTTTTTAAAGATTTTTCTTGTCCCACAATTGTTAGCAAAACAGTGTGAACTGACAAAGATCAACATGGATGAAAAAACATTCAGGTGGATGCTAAATGAAGATGAAGTGGCAACAGACAAATTGGCTGAGGGAATAAGAAATTTTGCTGTGGATGCAATTAAACTGGAAAATGTGGTGAAAGAGAGGCTCTTGAAGTCTTAAAAGACTGGTGGTCAATAAAAAGAACTCCGTGGTTGTTCTTTTTAATGGAAATTGGTGATATTTATCATGTTAAAAAAGTTGCTTTCCCATTATTACAGTCTTTGTTGCACAAAGATTTATATCAAAATTTCTTAACCTTTGCATTGTATCCTTGATGCATATTTTCTAATAACATGATATTTTGGTAGTATGTTGAAGAAGGCTTTCACATTTAAAGGGATAATAACTCTTCGTAATTGAAAACAATTTATAGAAATATAATTTATTCTGTTTTACCACAAAAATGGCAGTAATAGCTATTATTCTGATATCTGAGCTTGTCATTGGACCACATGACCTCCATAGATGGCAATTCTCTGTAATAATCTCTTTTTCTTAAGAGATTATTACAAAAAAAAAAAACCTTTTTGGAAAAAAACTTTGAATGAAGAAATGGATTCATTAACCATTGGTAAGTATGAGAAAATTGTTGTTTACTCCAGGAAAATTCATTTTTTTGGCCAAAACGAACAGTTATTATCCCTTTACCAAACCTCAGATTAATTTTTCATGTATCTTTTTTCTACTATTGTTCAATTTAACTTAAGTAAACTAACAGTATTCAAGATGTTATTTTTTAAAGTGACAATTGTACAACATAGCTTAAAACAAAACTTGATATGTATTGATTTTAGAATTTTGCTATAAAGATTGTTTTAGTTTGCAAAAATGTCTAACTATAATTTTACAATTGTAATATATTAAATTTTATTGAAGTAGAACAAATAACAATCCATATGTTGTTTTTACAGGATGAGAGATATTACTCAAATTGTATGTGTATACCCCAGGGTCGTCATTTGAGAAAAATATTTTAATAACTAATTAACTGCACATTTTGATAAAACATTTAAAATTGTTTCAGTATATACTGCTTTTTAAGAATAAAAAAAAATTTGGAAAGAACCCAAAAAAGAAAAAAAAATGCATTTTTTCTTTTATATGCAAATAAGATTGTCTCTAGTAATAAAGCTGACTGGAAGGGATGCTTTTAGCAGAGATTTCAAAGATGGTGATCTTGATTACTTTATATTTTGTTTTTTAATCATTTGATAATATTAATTAAAAAATTAAAATACAATTGAAGCTACCAAATATAATTTTCTTCGAGAATATTTTCCTTATAACGACCCGTTCCTGAGACAAATATTGTAATAGCCAGAAGGGTCACTCCATCACTATACCTCAGTGTGTTCTACATGCATGCCCTATCCAGTGGGCAGGCAACGTTGACCCTCTATACACTAGTACATTACTTATATCTTTTCTACACCATCTTCCTTAGGTCGCGTGTTGGAAAAGGGAGGGAGGTGGTCACAATTTTTGCCTACTAAAAGTGGTGGGTCAAAAAAATTAAGCCGTGCATTTAGGGTGGGCCACAAGTTAACTAAACTTTATATTTGGCACCTTCTGTGCAACTATACTTCACTTGAAGTACAAGAGCATGCAAGAGTTCTGAAAACATGTTTCTTTTTTTAACCAGCGTTTTTAGGAACAAGCAACAAACGTTTATTATTGTTATTAATGGGCAGTTAAAAGCTTGAAAAAGTTGTCGGTTTAACAGAATTCGGTCGAAAATCAAACCCGGAGCGCCTGCGTGGCAGGCGAGCATTCTTCAATTGAACCTCGCGTACTTCTAAGATGTTAGTTTGCCCTTGCCCCCTCCCCTCCCCAAGAAAACCACCGGTGATGCTCGAAACATTTCTGCAAGTTTGTGCGGATCATATCAAAAGCTGACGGTCTATCACCACGGTTTTGTTGTTGTTTGCGATGATAATATATAACTGATCAACAAAAACCATCTGAGTTTGGATTCTTTCATATCTTTCAGGAGACGACTATAGCTAAGATTCCACGTTATTGCTTTCTTTAAGAACCTTTCCCATTTTATTTCATTTTTAGGGGTTTAGTACAGTTTTATTTATATTGAATTTTGGGCGTCGTACAAAGACAATTTGATTTGTGCGATAAGCCATTACTGCCAGTAAAATCTGTAAACCATCTCACTTTCTTGTGTCTTATTTTTGTCGTCTAGTCCGAGAATCGTTATCAATACTTTTGCTTATGCAATTTTTTAATAAACTTCTTAACGCTCGGAGACTATTTGATAGTATTGTTGTAAAGTTTTAGAATTCGAGGACGAATTCTTTTAAAGAAGGGGTGTATGTGGTAAAGCGAATGACTTACACTTTTACTAATTACAGATAACAATTAAAACGGAATCAAAAGAGTAAAAGGATAGGGAGATATTGAGTGTAAGTTAAATTTCTTTAAGAGTCAACAAGTATAGAAATTGTTCTCGTAGTAGGAAAAGGTGGAACATGTCAAAGTCACATATAGTTTGATTTGATTGGTTAATTTCTCTACAGATTTGTAAGTTTCTAACACGTGTAAAACACATCCAAACTTAGGATGGATAAGGCCCAAGCATGAGTAATTCAAACAATATTTTAGATATCTTTAATTGAAAACAAGTCTCTTAGAAATTACCTAATAAGGAAATGTTGAATGGTGGTTTGCAACCGGAGAATGGAAATTTCCTTGTAATCATGCAAAGACAATGGAAAGAAAACAAGTAAACGCATGATCAGTACGGAAAAATAGAGCTTAAATATTTGTGAAGTTGTATCAAAATTGAGTCGGCAAATAAACGTTTGAAAGCTCCAATCCGTCGTTATTCTTCACTATAAAAGTATACCAGTCAACTTCTATAAAAGAGGAAGCATGACTTGCTGAAATAAGCTCTGAAACAGCTCAGCGGCAATGTACTTCAACAACATGAGTAAAAATTCTAGTTGATGGCCTTATGCAGTGAAAACAACGACTGGTTCAATTAATCTCATTTCCTTGCTGAAGATCGGTGTTTGCAGATCATTTTTTAAGCTGAGTGCTTTATTTACTTTCTCTATTTTGTGATATTTCAGGAAAGAGTGGGAGGAGAGTATTCAGAAGATGCGTAAAAAATATAACAAGCCAAAAGAAAATACATTGATTTATTTTAAAGGACCCGTGGTTTAAGTACAACATTATTTCGCAGCCAATTCGTGAAAGCCAAGTGAATATTAGATACGTGGTCCAGCCAGGACGTCATGGGGTTCACTCGTCTAAGCTATTGTGGATAATCCGTCTAAGATATTGTGTTATTCTGCTTCAAATTTGAAGGAATTGATATTATTGTCCATTATTTGCCCACCCCCTTCTATTCACAAAATATTGATGAAAATATTTAAAACTTTTTAAAATGGAATACAACAGAAATTTAATTATAAACTCCATAATGTGCCACGGTATAAACTGTCCTTTCTTGTGTCTTACATTTGTCGTCTGGTTCGAGAAAAAGTTGTCAATACTTTTGATTATACAATTTTTTCCATAAACTTCTTAGCGCCTGGGAAGACTTATTGATAGTATGCCGGTCGACTTCTATAAAGGCTGAAACAAAGCGTGCTGAAATAGGCTTAGAAACAGTTCAGAGGCAGCTGGTAGTTCTTGCAATGAATTCTCATATGCGGAGAAACAAGCAGCAGCATATTTTATTGCTTCATCTATTCCTTCAAGGAGTCTTAGGCGCGGAGACAGTCAGCCCACAGACATGGTTCAGCGCAACGGTAACCCAAACCATCCCCTACGATACCACCTCGCTTAGCTCTGGTTTAGATAGCCGTTTTTCAATGGAAGCGGAAGTTTTTTCCCAGGCTGATGTCCCAAAGAATCCGCCGTTACACTTCCAGTCTACTTCAACAGCAGCCAGTTTCACCGTATCCTCTTCTGGTGTAGACAACGGCGACGTGGAAGAAGCGTTTGACGCGAGAAGGGAAGAAGGCGACTCCACGATCTCAAATTTCACTATGACCTCACCACCAGGTGAGTCCACGGTGACACTTTGGAATGACACTTCACTTCCTTTTAACTTGCCCAGAACATTTTGCTTAGAGAAAACCGAAGTTCAGACAGGTGGGTGTTTCTGTGACAACTTTTGCGGTTTGTTCCAAGACTGCTGTGCCACTGACTACTGTAACAAGCGTTCTTTATCGGTGGAAATGCGGTTAAACTCAAACAACATTGAATGCATCATGCAGTCCACCTCGTATTTCCCTGGTCTTAATCCCCAGCACTTCTGGATGGTGACATAATGCCCAGATGAATGGCCCCATGATACCGTTCGTACTAAATGTGAAGCTCCGCGAAATAATGCCATTATTTCTGACCCGATTCTCCTCCACGTCCTGCAAAATCTCACTTGATTTTCCGCTATATGTAATTTGCGAGACTTAGGGCCATCTCGGTTGAAAATTGCTTTCTACCCGACGACTCTTTGAAAGGGGCCCAGCGTAACATTGAGTTACCATAGAGAAAAAAATTGGAAATTTATTTATATTGCTAGAAGTCATTTCTGTGACCCATAGAAATATTTTATCTTTGCCTACTGTAAAAATGACATCAAAATGATAGTTATTGTAATATAGGGAGTTGCTATGTGTTATCTACAGAGATTTCTGGGGTATATATTATTCGACGGAAATAATTGTACATGTAATGTTACATTGTATGTATATGTAAAAGTGTTTAGGTGTCAAGGTGTGAAGTAAGATGTCAATTTTTCACATTTAATGAACACCTAGGTTTTGTCTTAACCTCGCGATTGTAGAATCGGCGTTTGGGGGAATGACTTGGTGCCGTTTGCACAGTTGCTAGATACGTTAACTAAAGGCACTGACACACCTAGCGCTATAGAAAAAACGTATAAGAAAAATTGCCCATTAGGACTTACATTAGACAGACTTACATCGCATACGCCTCGCGTACGCAACCAAACGTTGGTATCGTCCTCTTACCCAGAAAGCTATAAACTTTCAGGTGCTGCTTATATATATTCATTTTAATACGCTGGAAACCGGAAACAATGTTTGGTAGCATAAGCTCCCTCCTTATCAGCTCAGACTGATTCATAATTTCAAATACAGTAGAAATTTCAGTTGCTGGGGCATTGATGTTAGGAAGGTATCCGATGTTGTCATTCGTGATTGGTTCCAAATCTCTACACGCTATGTTAAATCCAGTCCAGCTAGGTACACTTTGCTTCTCTCTCTGTTCAAACCTTGCTAGTGCCCATATGAGGTTCTTCTGTCTAGCAACTTCTGACTCGGTCCTGTTCTCAACTACATCCCTATCCCTTGTGATCAGTGGCTGTGGTCCAACTCTCTTTCCAGCAATGTATACTTGAAGTTC